GTAGTAGTAGTAGTAGTAGTAGTATAGTAATAGTAGTAGTAGTAGTAGTAGTAGTAGTAGTAGTAGTAGTAGTAGTAGTAGTAGTAGTAGTAGTAGTAGTAGTAGTAGTAGTAGTAGTAGTAGTAGTAGTAGTAGTAGTAGTAGTAGTCGTACTAGTAGTAGTAGTAGTAGTAGTAGTAGTAGTAGTAGTAGTAGTAGTAGTAGTAGCAGTAGTAGTAGTAGCAGTAGTAGTGGTAGTAGCGGTAGTAATGCGACGAATAACGAGCATAAAACGTAAATTGACAATTATACGAATGACATTTGTAATTGTATTTGTATGCATACGAGTAATCACGATCAGAAGACGAAACGGAGGAGGACGAGGAGGAGCTGAAGGAGGAGGAGGAAGATGAGGGGAAGGGGCAGGATGAGGAGGAGGAGAACGAGGAATGGTCTTGGTGGTCAGTTGGGCCTCTTGGAGCGTTTTTGATGCCTCGGAGGAGCCTCTTGAAGCCCCTTTGGTCTCTCGTGGAGGCTTCTTGGGGGCCGCTCGGGAGCCTCCCTGGTGATGCTGGGCGTCTCCCTGGTGATGCTGGGCGTCTCTTTGGGCTCTCTTGGGGCCATCTGGGAGGAAATCAATCAAAGGGGGGGGAAATATAGCCCCCCCCCCTCCTCGAAGGCTCTCATATGGCCGTTTGATGTTGTCTTGGGGCGTTCTTGGGCGTGTCGTCGGCGCTCTTGGGGTCGTCTTGGGCCCCTCTTGGGTCTTTCTTGGGCCATCTTCAGGCCATCCTGGGGCCCAAGAAGCCCATCAGAAGCGAAAAAGCGAGAAGCCCAAGAACCTTGCCTCGGGGGGTTTAAAGGGCACTCGGAACCTGCTTGGGGCTGTCTTGGGCCGTCTTGGAGGCATGTAAGAGGCTACCTTAAGCGATGTGGAGATATATTGAGCCATCTTGGAGGCCGTCTTGGGCTGTCTTGGGCCCTCTTGGAGCCATCTTGCGCCATCGTGGGCGCTCTGACGGCTCGGGGGGCCCCTTCCAGGCCCAGGGGAGGGGGTATACCCTTCCTCCGAGCAGGGGAAGGAGGGGCTGTGATAGGGCACTGAGAACAACCCGTTAAACCACTCAGCCTAGAGGGCAGGTGGGATTTGCGTCGAACGTGCATGCGTATTGTTTGGTGCTTCGCATTACCTTTGTTCACATTGCTCTACTATGCCTTGAACTGTACTTCATCGCATTGTCTTGCACTTGCTTCGCTAATGTCTGCTTGCAACATTTCGCGATCCTTTGTCCTCGCATCCAGTTTCTATGGCAATGTGCTGCTTTGCGCTGCCAGTTCATCGGTTACATGTCTTTCACCGCTTTCCACTTCTTCGCATTGAATTATATGGAAACGTCCTTGTCGGCTATGCTTCCCTGCACCTTCTGTTCGAAGGCATTGTGGGACACTACTGAAGTGGAACTATGAGCATGTCACGGGCTGCGGCTTGCTGGAAGCTAAGCGCCCGCGAAGCGCGCGTGGCCAGAGAGGGCCCCAACAGGGCCCCGAGAACGATACACGAGGGGGAAACTCGAGCTACCGTTTCGAGCCATCCGCCCCAAGATCAGCCCCGAGACCGCCGACAGACCCCAAGGAGCCTCCAAAGGGCCCCAGGCGCCTCCAAAACGGCTCCCAAGAGGCCCCCAAGAGGCCCCCAGGAGGCCCCGGGAGGCCCTCGGGAAGCCCCCCGGGCGACCCCCAAGAGGCTTCCAAGGGTTCCGAGAGGCTTCCACAGAGACCTCACGATGCATCTACAGTCGGGGCCCTGAAGAAGGAACCCTTCTCGTCGGGGAGGGGCTCGGTGTTCCTTGATTGTTCTGCAGTTTGCCGCAGGTTTTCCTGAGGTTTTCCATGGGAAATCCAAGCTTAACTTTTGGGATCAAGGGGCCTCGTTCCTTATTTAGGGTTCCTTCGGTCAACGCCCCGACTGTATGAAGCCTCTGGTCCAAGCCCAGGCGCATTCCCCTGATCGACCCCAGACCGCCGTTAATAAGGCGGCGGCGGGAGCCCCCCGCACCTCCTCCTCCTGCTCCTCCTTTTCCCCTCCTCCTCCTCCTCCTCCTCCTCCTCCTCTTCCTCCTCCTCCTCCTCCTCCTCCTCCTCCTCCTCCGCCCCCCCCTCTGCGCGCGGACGATCACCGCACCAGCCTCCGTGCCGTCCTTTCCACCTCCTCCTCCAACTCCTCCTCCCTGCCTCCTCCCCTCCTCCGACTCCTCGCCTCCTCGTCCTCCTCTTCGTTCTCTGCCTCGCCCGCCTGCGGCGGAGCTCGGCGGCCTTCGGTGACGACGCACGACGGACGCCCGACCCTTGACGACGACGACGACGACGACGACGACGACGACGACGACGACGACGACGACGACGACGACGACGATCACGACGATCACGACGACGACGACGACGACGACGAGGACGACGACGACGACGACGACGACGACGACGACGACGACGACGGCGGCGGCGGCGGCGGCGGCGGCGGCGGAAGCGGCGGCGGCGGAAGCGGCGGCGGCGGCGACGGCGGCGGCGACGTCGGCGGCGGCGGCGGCGACGGCGACGGCGACGGCCTCGGCGACAGCGACGGCGACGACGACGACGACGACTGCAATTTCGAGCCATCTGCCAAATCACCCTCGACGCCGCCAACAGGCCCCCCAAATCCCCCCAAGACGCCCCTAGAAAGGCGCCCGAGAGGCCCCCAGGAGGCCCCCAGGAGACCCCCAAGATGCTTCCAACAGGGTTCCGAGAGACTTCCACCGAGACCCCACGATGCGTTTACGAGGCCTCTGGCCCACAACCCAAGCGCACCAACGGCGAGGACCCTGAGGGACGAGGACAGGAGAGGGCCGAGGTGCACGGAGGCTCCGCGAAACCCAGATGCAGGGAGATTCGCAGTGTCGCCCATGACACGAGCGAAAACGAGAGCCATATGGCATAGTTGTGACTACACCCTAAGCGCGCGTAGCGTGCGCGTGGTGTGTACATAGATGCATTCCCACCGCGTCCTCTACCCAGGAGACCCCCAACACCAAGACACGTCCAGAAAGCCCATGCGAGAGGCCCAGCTGACCCCAACCCTGCCCAAGGCGGCCACGGGACGGCCCCGAACAGGACCACGGGGGCCCTGGGGCAGCCCAAGAGGGCGCCAAGAGAACGCCAAGACGGCCCCGCAGACGGCCTCGTGGGGTCCAGGACAGCCCAACCCCAAGATGACTTCAGAGCGTCCCAGCTGACCCCTGGGCCCCCGAGACCGCTCCAAGACGCCCCAAAGACTGCCCCAGGAGCCCCCAAACAGCCCCAAAGAGAGGCCAACAGAGAGGCTAAAAGAGGCCCGCACGATAGCGTCCCATGAGAGTCCGAAGAGCGCCGCATGATCGTCCAGTAACCTGAAGCCGCCAGCAAGAGGGAATGGATGGGCAGGCAGGAGTTGGGGAGAGGAGGGCAGGGGGAGGATGTGCGAGGATGCGTGGAAGGGGAAGGAGGGAGGATGGGACAAGAAGGCGAAGAAGGCGATGAGCGGGCCATGATAGGGGGCCAGAGGAACGAGGGACGGAGAGGTGGGAGGAATGAGGATGGAAGATGATGAACAGGAGGTGGAGGAACAGGAGGAGGAGGAGGAGGCAGGAGGGGCCTGTGGTGAGGCATCCCTTCCTTGCCATTTGAGGGTGTCCTTGTCCTGAACGACGCAACTGCGACGTAACTTCTGCCTAGCTCAGATGTGTTGATCGTGCACATGCAATTACAGCTGAGTTGATGTCGAGGGCTGGGGTTTGCTAGAACCTACGCGCGCGAAGCGCGCGCGTGGTTCTAGTCTCACACTCGTCCTGAGTTGTTGTTTGACGCTCCCAAGACCCGGTGAGGGCCCCCCGGAGGCCGAGCATTGGTAAAAATCCCGCCGCTCCAATTTTTGGGGGAACGTCGGATCCTTGGGACCTCCGATCGATGCCTGGTTGACCCAAAAGAGGGTCCAGCAACAAAGAAGTGGTGCAATAGATCTGGTGCAATATATTTTTGGGATGCAATAGATTTGGGGCGTGCACTACATTCGGGGGCGCAAATGTATTGCTTGACTTTCGCGTGCAACGCATCAGTTGCAATACAATGCAATACCATCCCCCTGGCGGCACACGCTTGCAATACACCTGCCCCGAATCTATTGCACCACCCCCTTTCAGCTGGACCCCTTTTTGGGTCAGCCAGGCGACGGCGCGTCGCTGTCCCCCTCTGGAGCATCGCCCGACGCCGGCGGCAACCAGCCCCCGCAGGCCGCCCTGTGTCAGTCGTTTTTTGACGCTTCCAAGACCCGGCAAGGCCCCCCCAGAGGCCAGGAATTGGCAAAGCACCCCGCCGCTCGACTTCTTGCTCCGGGAGCGTCGGCTCGCTGGGGGCCCGCCCGAGCGACGGCACGTCGCTGCCCCGGAGTCGGGCGCGTCTCTCCACACGAGGACAGTCCAAAAAGAGTCTGAGAGTAACCCCAGGAAGCATTTAAGAACCCCCCCGGCGATATCGTAGCACCGCATTTTTTATTCGATATTCCGAGGGGCCGAAATAACAGAACGATAGCTTTAGCATCCGGACACAAGGAGGGCTCCTGGTGCCAGGTAACGCTTCCGGCGTGCGGATGGGTTATCGATTTGCCGGCGGGGGGGGGGTGTTCTTAAATGCTTCCTGGGGTTAGTCTGGGGACGATGGCTCGACTATTTTTGAGCACTTCTGTTGCCTAGGTGTTCCCTCCGTCGAAACTCCCCCTGGAGGGGGGGGGGGGGGACGTGCCCGACCTGACGCTGCACCCCTCTGGGAGCGGCGCCCGGCGCCGGCGGTCCGCATCGGGAGGGGAAAAAAGCACACAGACACGATGATCATCGATTCTCCAGAACATATGGGAAAATAGGGGGAAGACAGACACCCAGAAACTGTGTGGTAATATGAGGAATTCTGTTACTTGTGTGTATTTGTTTGTGTGTCCCAGGGCCCAGCCCCTATTGTGTGGTGTATTTATCTGTGTGTATGTATTCGTATTTATCTGTGTGTATTTATTTGTGTGTAAATATAGTTGCATTTATTGGTATGTATCAGTGTGTATTTATCTGTGTGTGTTTATTTGTGTGTATTTATCTGTGTGCTATCACCGCAGCCTCCCTGGCAGGCCGCGCGCAGCAGAGGCGCCCGGCGCCCTACGCCGGGGGCGTGGCGCCGCCGCCGGCGCGCGGCGCCGGCGCGAGGGGCGGCCTCGCGGGCAGAGGCGCGGAGGAGAGGGCTCTCGGCCGCGGCGCCCTGGGGAGCGAGGGGGGGGAGTGAGAGGAGGAGGAGGTAGTGAGTGGGAGGAAGGTCGGGGGTGGACATCACCCCCCCCCGTGACACGTCGATGAGTGAATTGTCCGTCTTTGGTTCTCGAGAGGGCGCCGCGGCCGTCATTTTCCAGGCTTGCGCCCGCCAGGTTTGGGCCCGAGGGCGTTTCACTAAACCGCGTTTTAGTAAAGGGGGTTCTCTCCATCCCCGAGAAGAAGAAAGGCATAAACATCAACTTTGGGCGCTCCGCAGGGATTTCTTGGATCCGCGTTGGGTTCCCGGCGGCGCCTCCAGCGCCGCCCCCAGCGCGCTCCACGCGCCAGGGAGAGGGTCCAGCGCAGATCCAAAAAGTCCGCGCGGACCGTCGAAACTGTATGTTTATGCAGATTCTCTCTTCTGGAAAAATTGAAGCGGCAGGTTTTTGGCCGTTCTCGGCCTCAAGTGGCCCTAGCCAGGCCTCGGGAGCGTCAAACAGCGACTCTGGCCGAAAAAAATACCTTGATTAGGAAAGTGGTCCAGACCTCCGGGCCCACGCATCGAAGAAATTGGAGCAGGCAGATGTCTGGGGAGCGAGGGGGGGGATTGAGAGGAAGAAGGCCGTCTCAGATGGCGGCGGAGCTTCTCAGAAGTCCTCGCGCCTTCGAGAGGTTTTCTTTCTCTGCTTTGGGGTCGGCTTTAAATTATCCGGGTGAAAGGCCCAACCATATGCAGTTGTAGATACCGCAATTGTGAATCTCTTCTTCGGTGGAGTTCTCTATGGGGGCACGAAGCGCTGCACTGGTTGGGGGGGAACGCGTGCGGGCGGTAGCACTGGGGCCGTCGGTGGAGCTCCCTATGGGGCCACGAAATGTGTACTGGGTAGGTGAAACTGCTAAATTGGGTGCGCGGGACGCATGCGAACGGTAGCATTGGGACCTTCGGTGGGGTTCCCTAGGGGGCCGCGAAACGCTGTACTGGGTGGGTGAAAAGGGCGGTCCCACTGGGGGCTTCGGTGGAGCTCCCTGTGGGGCCACGAAGCGCAGTACTGAATGGGTGAAAATGCCAAGTGTGGCTTTCGGGACGCATGCGGACGGTGGCACTGGGACCTTCGGCGGAGCTCCTTATGTGGCCACGAAGCGCTGTACTGGGTGGGTGAAAATGCCAAATTCGGTTTTCGGGACGCATGTGGACGGTAGCACCGGGACCTTCGGTGGGGCTCTAGATGGGGTCACGAAGCGCTGAATCGGGTGCGTGAAAATGCCACATTGGGTTTTCGGGACGCATGCGGTCGGTCCCACTGGGGGCTTCGGTGGAGCCCCCTATGGGACCACGAAGCGCTGTATTGGGTGTGCGGGTCGCATGCGGACGGTAGCATTGGGACCTTCGGTGGGGCTCCCTATGGGGCCACGAAGCGCTGTATTGGGTGTGCGGGGCGCATGCGGACGGTAGCACTGGGACCTTCGGTGGGGCTCCCTATGGGGTCGCGAAACGGTGTACTGGGTTGGTGAAACGCAGGGAGGAGGGAGGAGGGGGCCACGAAACGTTGTACTGGGAGTGACTGTGCGGGACGCACGCAGACGGTAACATTGGGACCTTCGGTGGGGCTCCTTACGGGGCCACGGAACGCCGACGGTAGCACTGGGACCTTCGTTGGGGCTCCCTGTGGGGCCACGAAGCGCTGTATTGGGTGTGCGGGGCGCATGCGGACGGTAGCAGTGGGACCTTCGGTGGGGCTCCCTATGGGGCCACGAAGCGCTATATTGGGTGGGTGAAAGCAGGGAGGACGGGGAGGAGGGACACGAAGCGCAGTACTGGGCGTGCGGGGCGCATGCGGACGGTAGCAGTTGGCCCTTCGTTGGGGCTTCCTATGGGGCCACGAAGCGCTATATTGGGTGGATGAAGCGCAGGGAGAGGGGGCAGAAGGGAGGAGGAGGGAGGAGGGGGAGGAGAAGGAGGAGGAGGAGAACGCGGGGCGCTGTCTCTTCAAAACAAGGACCCAACACCACAGGATGGTTGAGCAAAACTTCTCAGAAGGCGAGGGGGTGTCCGAGCCTTCTGAGAAGGCCCACCCCTTCTCACTTCCCCCGGGGCGCACCGACTACACTCGAGGATCATTCAAGAAGTATCGAAGCGCCCTGGCCGACCTGTAGGCCCACCACAGCATGTTCTAAGAACGTGATGTGGGTTGCACGCAATGCTCTTAGATCATGTCTGGCTTGGACTGTTGTGTTCTAAGAACGTCGCTTCTGTTCTCAGAAGTTCCAGATTCTAAGAACATGTCGTGGTGGTGGGCCAAGAGTAGTGCCGGGACGGTCGGTCCCTGCTTAGAAGTGGATTTTTTTCTGGGAACACATGTTTGTTTTCCGTTGCAGATCGGCAGAGGCGATCCGCACGAGAGCGCTCGAGCTGTCGGGGGCGCGCGACGAATGATGCGTGCCGCCCGTGCAGTTTGTATACCGCGGCTAAACAAAGTCCTCGTGGGGGGGCAGGGCGAGGGCCTTGGTCGTGGGCTTGGCATGCGAGCTCCTTCCGTGGGGCGTGGCCTCTGCATGACTGAACGTGGCCCCGCGGGGTGGAGTCCGACTTGTCTGCACGCCCGAGATGGGCACGGAAAGAATGGGTACAATGCCGAACAGCAGTTCCTGTCCATTCTGAACAGGGTTCGCTGTCCACGCCGCCGCGGCCTGTGTCCATTCGAGACAGAAGGCCGCCTGCCCAACAGCGGCCGCTGTCGGTTTGGGACAACATCTGTTGTTGGGCATCGTACCCATTCCTTCCGTGCCCATTTCGGGCGTCCAAAACTTGGGTGGGACGGGTGTGGCGCACCACCGAAAACTCGAGGACAGCGGTCCGGCGGCAGGAGGGCGCGCCGCGGGAGGGAGAGCGGCCGCGGGGGACGGGAGGGAGGAGGCGGGCAGGGGGGGCACTCGCGGCTGACAGCGCCTCCGGGCCAGCGTCCCTCGGGGTCTCGGGCAACGGAAGGAGCACCAGCTTGGCATCGCTCGGACGTGTGCATGTTTCCTTCGGCGAGGGCCATCGAGGAGCATCCTTGATCATTTGGCGAAAGAGCCACGCACGAAACCGAAAAAAGCAGAGGGAATGGACGGACGTCCGAGCGATGGCCAGCCAGAGAGGCTCGGAGGTCGAGCCGGGGGGGGGGGGGATCGGGCCTCGGGGGCCTCGGGTCCAGCGTCGGGCAAGCCCCGGCCTTTCGGGCCGGGCGAAAGGGGGGATTGGGAAAGGGGGGGTTACGAAATTTGCTGCATGCAGCTGGTTTCGGCCTCAGCGAGGGGCCCATTCCTCGGCACATAGCCGCCTCCGGCGCCGGGAGGCGCCGGGAAAATCAGCTACGCGAGCTGATTCTCAAACCCCCCTTTGCTATCCCCCCCTTTCGCCCGACCCGACTTGTGCAACGAACCTTTCTGGCAGCCTCCGCCTCCAGGGCTCCGAGACGTGTCGAGGGGAACGGGCAAGAACCCGAGCAGGCAAGCTCCGAGGCCCGCGCGGATGTCTTGGTCGGCTGGACCCCCCATCCCTGCCCCGCCCTGAGGCCCCCCAGCTCGACCTGAGGCGCCCCGGCAGCCGTCGGAATCACTCTTCTTGAGCCAGACCATCTCGCCATTCTCGATAAAGGTCGGCACCACACCAGCACCAGTATCGGCGGCGTGCCTCCACCGAAAGAAGATTACCCCACAATCCCGATGCCGGTGAGTGTGGTCATATCCGGGCTTTCCGTGTGGCAGAAAATGTAACATCATCTGGGGTCATTTTCCCCTGGTGGAGGCAGCCCCCTCTGTTTGTCTTGGTGCCCGTTCCCAAGCCTCCAGAAGTCTTCGCAGACGTAAGGCTACGCACTCGGACGAAAGGGGGGTACAGTCGGGGCGCTGAAGAAGGAACCCTTTTCGTTGGGGAGGGGCTCGGCGTGCCTTGATTGTTCTACAGTTTGCCTTCTGTTTTCCTGCGGTTTTCCATGGGAAATCGAAGTTCAACTTGTGGAAAAGAGGGACCTTGTTCCTTGCTTAGGGTTCCTTAGGTCAACGCCCCGACTGTATTGGGAAGTGGAGAGTTCGCGCAACCTGCTCCACGCAGCCCGCTTCGGCCTCGCCACCGGGCGTTCTCTTCGATGCGCTGGCGCCTCTCCGGCGCTCGGAGGCGCCCGAGAAAGAAAAGCCGGCCACGCGAGCTGATTCGGGAGGCCCCCCTTGTGCTGCAGTCGACGCGCCCAGCAAGGACGCGCGCCTTCATCGAGGGTGCCCTCGTGTCCTCGCCTCTGCGGCCCGTCCTCAGGGGAACAAAAAGTGGCATAAACATAAAAACTCGGATGTCCGCGCGGATTTCTCGGATCGGCGCTGGGGCCCCCCGGCGGCGCCTCCGGCGCCGCCCCTGGCGCGCTCCGCGCGCCAGGGAGGGGGGTCCAGCGCCGATTCGGAGAAATCCGCGCGCACCTCCGAGTTTTTATGTTTATGCCACTTTTTGTGCCCGTAAGTCCTGCGCCGTTTTCCGCTGGTCGCGCGCCGCCCCCCCCAAAAGAAACCACGATCGGCCTCCAGGGGTCTTGCGTCCTGCCCGCCCGCCCTTCCTATTGAGTCGGGCCTGTCCCTCTACAGGAGGGATATTCAAAATAGTCAAAAAGTAGTATGGGGATTTTGTTTGACCAGTTCGGGGCATTTTTAGGGCATGTTTTTTGTGTTAAACAAATTCCGCCCAAAATCCCCCTGTAGGGGACAGGCCCGACTTAACCTTCCTACACGTGTTCACTGTGCCTCCCCGCGCGCCGTTTGGCGAGAGCGGCCACGGGCAAGAGCAAGGGCGCCCTCGAGGGCGCGAAGTTATCCGCGCTCCGCGGTTCGGCTCCGATTCCTCCTCCTCCTCCTCCTCTTCTCCCCTGGGAGGCGGCGCGAGGGCGCGAAGTTAGTCGCACTTCGCGCTTCGCGCAGCGCGCGCCGACGGAGGGCCGGCCCCGTTCTCCTCCTCCTCCTCCTCCTCCTCCTCCTCCTCCTCCTCCTCCTTCTCCCTTCCTCCAGGGGGATTTTCGACGGAAAATGAAAAAATACACCCCGAAATAGTCCAAACATAGTCTGGGGACGTTTTTTTTCATGTTTTGACAAGTTTGAGATTTTTGGGGGTATTGATTTTTCGTCGAAAATCCCCCTGTAGGGGGACAGGCCCGACTTAACTCTTGAGCCCCGGGCCCCCCGCTGCTCGGCGGGGGGGGGCCCCCGGGTCGGGGGGTGCCCTCTCCCCCGGGGCTCACAGCAGGGGCGTGCTGGACGCGCCGCCTCGGCATCCGTTGCGGCGCCCGATGCGCCCGATGGCGCGCCTCGCCCGCGCGTTGCCCTCGTCTGTACAGTCGGGGCCCTGAAGAAGGAACCCTTTTCGGGAGGGGCTCCGCGTTCCTTAAGTGTTTCACAGCTTGCCTCAGGCTTTCCTTATGTTTTCGACCGGAAATCGAGGGTTGACTTAATTATGGAAAAAAGGGGCCTCGTTCCTTATTTAGGGTTCCTTAGGTCAAGGCCCCGACTGTAGGGGGACAGGCCCGACGCAAGCCTCGCGCGGCGCGAGGCGCGAAAAACGGGGAGCCCCTGGCGAGGGGGGGCGCCCGCAGGCCCGCGCGGCGGAGCGGATGTCGGGCCTCCGGCGGCCCGGGCCTCCGACGGCCGGGCGCCGAGCCAGCGCGGGGGGGGCCCCGCGGGGGGCCCTTAGGAGGCGGGGGGCTCCGGGAGGCCTTACAGACGAGGGCACGCGCGGAGGAGGCGCGCCATCGGGCGCATCGGGCGCCGCAGCTTACCAGCCTCGAGCGTATCCCTATCCCGAAGATTGGCACGCCAGAAGGCGATGACAGTCTCAGGGATCCGCCCTCGGAGAATAAGGGAATCCCTAAGGTTGGCATCGTGATGAGGAGGTGCCCAGCATGGGGATAGGGATATGTTCCAGGCTGGTAAGCAGCGGATGCCGAGGCGGCGCGTCCAGCTCGCCCCTTTGTGTGAGCCCCGGAGTATAGAGGGCCCCCCCCCCGCCCTCGTCGGAGCTTGAGAGGCGGGGGTCGATGCAGACGGGGGTCGGCCAGGGCCCCAGATCCTGCAGGATCCTGCGAAGACCCCCTCTTGCTGACCCGGGTGAGCGAGCCGCTCGTGGCCGCGAGGCGGCCGCGCATGTTGGCTGGCCCGGGTCTGCGAAGATCCTGCGTTGCAGTTTTTTGTTTTTTTTGCATTGCAGTTTTTGGTTTCCTGCTGACCCGGGTCTGGATTGACCTGGGTCAGAAGATCCTTGAGGGGCTTGGGGGGGGCGAACTTTTGGCAGGTGGATCTCTCAAGCTCTCCGCCGCCTCTGGCGGAGTGCGTTGCGAGCCACAGAAGGCGCGGCATTGACAGCGTAGCTCCGCACACGTGACAACTGTTAACGAGCAGGAGCACAGCAGGAACATATGTTAACGAGCAGTGTAGCTCCGCATGCGTGACAAAAAAACGGAGGCAGCGACCGCTGCAAGATACCCATCGGTCGTTGAAAGTTGGTATTTTTTGATTCCCCGATTCCCATCTACTTTGAGCGCCTTCCTACCTCAATGATCGAGTGGCTTCACCTTCTCCGTCCTCCTTGGGGGCGGACGGGACCCCAGAAATCTACTGTCAGCGCCCTCCTACTTCCTGTTTCTGCCTGCTTCTTCCGAGCGATGGGTAATTGAGGGGCCCTCTGGGGCTCCTGGAGTCGGCGGCGAGCGCGGCGGGGGGAGGCGAGAAGGAGAAGGCCTTTGCAGAAGGCGGCGGGGCCTCTCAGAAGCCCGCGCGCCTTTGGAGCAGTTGTCTGCGTGTTCGGTGAAGGCCCAGAAATCAGAGCGTGAATTACCTACCCCGCTTTCGCTTCCAGGCAAAATCAAGCCATACCACGAGCCTCCTCGTCAAGCGGCCTGACCAGTACAGGCTGCAATTTGGCATCGTTTGGTATCTCTTGGAAGCGAGGGTGGTCAAAAGCAAGGTAGGTATGTTTTCCCCCTAAGAGAACACAACTCGGGGGAACCGGGGACTTCCGAGCCTTCTGAGAAGGCCCGCCCCTTTTCTCGCTTCCCCCCCGGCTCGCCGCCGACAAAAGGGGTCCTCCATGGGGCCCAACAGGGGGCCTGCAGGGCCCGAGAAGTGCCCCCTTCTTCCCCCCTCCAGCGAGCGACGTCCAACGACAGTTTGTGCCTGCGCTGTTTGGTCTTCCTGCGGAGGCGGCTCTGCGGGCCAGGGCAGCTCTGCGGGCCGCGGCGGTGACCGCCCCCCCCCCCCTCGCGCGCGCCGGGGGCACGGCGTATATAGCCCAACAGGGAGAGGGCAGGGAAGTGTTTTGGACATCTGAGTTCTGCTCTTCTGGCTGAGATGCTGGCTTTGGAGTGGGCGCTGGGAGTGTTATTGGCGACGTTCGTGGGTGGAGCGCTTTAGTAGTGATGCAGTGGGTAGGGGTGTGCGCCAGACGCACTGGCCCGAATCGTAAAGGGAAGAAAGGAGGTCCTCAGGGTCCCCGGCTTGGTTTTGGGCGGTCCCCCTCGAGGAGGAGTCCGAAGTCGAGCCCAAAATCGCCCCCGCCTGGCTGGTTGCGACGGCGGAGGGGCCGAGGGGCGCAAGAAGCAACGCGCAGGCAAACAGCTCTGGTCGGCGGGCCTGATGCTCCTGCTCCTTCTGGTCCTCCTCCTCCTCCTCCTCCTTCTCCTGCTGGTCCTCCTCCTCCTCGGCGGGCCTCTTCCTCCTCCTCGTTCTCCTCCGCTGGACGGGACTAGGACGAGGACAAATCCGTTCCAGAGCGTTCCGGGACGGTCTCAGGGCGTCTCGAGCCGACGGCTGCCATTCGTGCCATGAAAAACGGTAGATGCAGAGACTCTTTCTGTCACCGTTGCGGAGATGCTGAAAATCAGCAGGCAGAGTCTACGGGAAAGCCTCCTCTCGCTTCTCAAGTCAGTTCTCCTGCTAGACGAAGAAACGCCCGATTCATGGAGACGCACGAAGCTGATCGCGCTGTTCAAGAAAGGAGACCCCGTCTACCCAAAAAATTACAGACCCAGTGCGATCCTGCCAATATTGTACAAACTCTTCGCTCGCATGATCTGCAATCGCCTGCAGGATATTGTCATTGCGCAACAAGCGCAAGGTCAAGCTGCCCACCGTCCAGGGTTTTCGGCGGAATATATTTTTCTCGCATTGACACTGGTTATCGAGAAGTGGGCGGAGTGGAACCAGGACTTTGGTTAGGACTCGTCGACTTCGACAAGTCATTGGACACCGTCGAACACGAGGCGTTGTGGGACGTGTTGCGCGAGTTTGGCATCGCAGAATCGTACATTGGGCTGCTTCGGAAATTGTGCGCCGATCAGACTGCCACGGCTGCTACCGGCGTGGAGTCCCGTTCTTTCGGTTTAAGCAGGGGAGGAAAGCAGGGGGACCCTATCAGCGCGCTCCTATTCATTGCAATTATGGAATATTTCTTCAGAACGTTGAAGACGAGGTGGCGCAGCTTCAACAGGAGACGAACTGGGCAACATTGACGATCAAGAGATGCCGTTTACAAGCCCGAAATTCGCAGACGACATGCTACTGCTTGCGCACAGGAAGCAGGACGTTGCGGAAATGTTAGCCCACCTCCAGGCGAACGCTGCCAGATATGGGCTTCGCGCCAACCTCGGCAAGACGAAGGTTTTCGCACACCGCCCCATGCGACGCGGGCAGCTTTGTGCTCGCTGGTGGATCCCACGTCGAGATTAGTTCACCAAAGGGTCCGAGAAGTATTTTGGCCGCGCTATCAATTTGGAAGACTACCACGGAACAGAACTTTCGAATCGCATGTCATCAGGTTGGAGAGCACTTGCAACATTTCGACATTCTGGGTGCTCACGGAGGTACCCTTTATCTGCGAGGCTGAAGTTGTTCGGCTCGGTAGTGCCTTCGACAGCCTTATATGGATGTTCGTGTTGGGTGATGAAATTGGCCGACCAGAGAATTCTCCGAGGAGCCCAGCGCAAAATGCTGAGGACGACTTTCCAAATCCCGCGCACGCACGAGGAGCGGCGGCAGACTACGTCAGACGATCCACCCGTCTGTGCGAGCGGAGGGCCCGCGAGAGAGGAATGGAAGATTGGGTTGCGATGCGGAAAATCAGGAAACTGAAGTTCGCCTACAGCGCAGACTCCTGCGATTATTGCGCTGGTTTCCGCGGTTCCGGACACGGGCGCGCAGGCGTTCACGGCGACCGCGCAAGCGCTGGGCCGACGATACAACCTGTCAGCGGTCAACGGTCATTGATGAGCATTCGCAGTTTTCTGAAGATTCGCATCGTTTGTTTTCTCGCGCTGTTAATTGCCCTGTGTGTCCGTTCTTCCTTCCTTGCCTCGTTTCCGGCACTCGGCTCCCCCTCTCCCTTCTCCCTCCCCGCGTCATCCGCCTTGCCGTTGCGTTTCCTTGCCTTTGATGTCTTGTGTGCTCTCCCTCCGTCTCCCTGCTTGGCTTCCCAGCTCCGTCTCCCCGCCCTCCGTCTGTCGGCCCGGTCTGTCCTTCTGTCGTCTCTCGCCTCTCCAACCCCCTCCCCCTTCCGCTCCTCGGCTCCTCGCTTTCCCGCCTGTCGCGGTTCCTTGCCTGGCCCGCGTTTCTTTGTCGGCCCGTCTTGCGGTCCGGATAAGAACATGCATTCCAGTTGCTCGTCTTGTTCGGTCTTCCCTGGCGTTTTTCGGCGCGCCGTCAGGGGCCCGGCCTGCCGCGGTCGGTCGGCACGCCGTTTGTTATTGTTATGTTTCTTTTGTTTTAAGTTGTTTGTATTGTTATTCTTATTATTTCTCGTATTAGAAAATATTATGTTTATGATTAGTTGTAGGTGTCTTCTTCTTCATTTTCTTCTCATGGCGTCCTGGGACGCCCTGAGAAGGCCGCGGCGCCCGATGCATCCTCCACAACCGTGGGATGTTTTTGATATTCGCGATGTTTTGTTCGCCCGATTGTATCCTTGTCCTGGCTTCGTCTTACCTTTGTCCCTGCCCCCTCCCCTTGTCTTTTCTTTTGCAAGCCGCGGGGGCAAGGCTCGTAACGTTAAGTCGGGCATGTCCGTTTACAGGAGGCGCGTGTAAACACAAGAAAACATGTATTGCGATTTTCCGACTTTGTTATTTTTGGTTCGGGAAGATATGTTTGAGTTGTCTTGACTACATGTTATTTGTCCTCCTCCTCCTCCTCATTTTCCTCCTGCTCATATCCCTCCTCCTCGTCCTCGTCCTCCTCCTCCTGCTCGTCCTCCTCCTCCTCCGTGCCTCCATTGCCTTGTGCATAAGGTTAGGTCGGGCCTGTCCCTATACAGGAGAAATATTCAAAAATAGTGACACATTGCGTGGGGACGAAACATTTGCGCATGTGTGGACCATTGTGGATCATTTGTAAAGTTCTGTTTGGAGAAAGCGTTCGTCCAACATCCGCCTGTAGGGGGACACGCCCGACCTAAACATGGGGGAGCGAAGAATGACATAAACATAGAAATTCGGAGGCCCGCGCGGATTTCTCGGATCGGCGCTGGGGTTGCCTGGCGGCGTCTCCGGCGCCGCCCCTGGCGCGCCCCGCGCGCAGGGCAGGGCGCTCCAGCGCAGATCCAAGAAATCCGCGCGAAGCGCCCTCCTCCTCTTCCTCCTCCTCCTCCTCCTCCTCCTCCTCCTCCTCCTCCTCCTCTTCCTCCCATCCCCCCAGTGACCTCGCCACGCCATTGTAACAGCATCACGCCGATGCGACAGACGAGGCCGAGCCACCTGCGGATGCGCGAGAGGAGCAGGAAGAGGACCCGTGCTTTGATGGATGGTAAAGAAGGGGAAAAGTGAGAGCGACTGGCAGGACAGCAACAGGCAGTGGTGGGGCTCCCTCAGGTTTTCCCCCCCTACCTCGGCCCGAACGAACATAAGTTCGAGGTGCGTGGGATCGGGGGATGCCGTCGCAGAGGGAGCCGCCAAAACAAGACCTGCACCAGCCAACACATCGGCTGGTACGGAGGAACTAAAGGCGAGGTCGGGCAGAGGGACGGAGAAAGGAAAAAGCAGAGCAGGTGCGTCTCGCTCGAGAAAGCGATGGAAATGAGGGCGCGAGTCGAAATCAAGCCTCGTTCCAGCAGTCTCTGTGGGAGGCGCGAGGTCGCAAGTAAGCAGATCGATCACGTCAAGACCACCAGAGTGACGGTACCGAGCAAAGGGGTCGAAGACTTCCGGACTTTGCGCCCCCACCTACCTACATACGCTTGGCCGCGCGCGCGGTCAAGGGGGAGGGCCGTATCGGAGGAAGCGACGACGACGACAACGAGGGGATCTCCAGCATGCCCGCGGGGCTGCCGTGGCTCACACTCCGCAGCTCACAGGATGCGTTGAGATGGCGAACCCAGAGGTCCGACGCTTCAACCAAAATTGGAGCGGCGGGATTTTGGCAGTTTTGGGCCTCCGAAAGCCCTCGCTGGGCCTCGGGAGCGATCAAAAACGACTCGGAACGAAAAACTGGCCCCGGGGAAGCATTTCAAGGCACCCTACCCCGAAGACCCCAAGCCCCCCCCACACCCCAAGTGGTGCACTCGACGAGAGCTTCTCAAAGGCGGGCGCCGATTGAACGGGCGGCAGGAGGGACTTGGCCTGGCGCATTTCTGGGGTCCCGCTTTGTTAAGTGCGTTGCGTTCGGGGGGGGGGGCAGGCGACAACAAGAGAGACCGCCGCGCAGGGGTGGGCGCAACTGCCCCTACGCGCTGGCCCCCACCCCCGCCCACAACCTTCCACTATCACGGAGCGTTCCCCGAGAAGGCTTTGCCGCCTCAGGGCCGCGCGTCACCGCGGTTGCACGTCGCGTTCTGGGTTCCCGCGCCGTGGACAATGCGCCAGCGCCCGCCTGGATCTGTGCATCCGCACGCGCCTCTTCCACTGCATCGGCAAGCCGTTGGGCCACCGCGCGATGCCGCCAGGCCCGTCGCACCATTTATGCCTCACCCACATCGCCGTCGCACCCGAATTCTTGCATCCGTGCGCCCGACCCGTTGCAACCGCACGGCTGAACCGTTTTAGTTGCGCGTTTCAACATAGTCATCGTGATTCATGGCCCATTGTTGGCGCACGCCTCGTATGGTGCATCTTCGCGCTGATGCCGGTCGACCGATGGTCGCATGAGCCATTTTCATCATCGTTCATGGCCTCGGCGTCGCCCATCACAGCCATTGCATCGTGGTGCCTCACCCATTGTAATGTTCCGCCTTGCTCCAGTTCATCAAACATTCTTGGGCCATCGGCTTGAGTCGTTGACCTGAACGCCATGACCACTGCATCGTCATGAATGTCCTCCTGCACCTGGACGCCTGCGCGCAGTCCCTCTGCTGCACCCTGGCCACTGTTCAGGAGCGAAAGAAGGGCGTACACGTACATGAATCCACGCTGGTTTCGAGAGTTCACATTGCGCGAATGTTCGTGTCACGCGGCTGGTCTCACGTTTCAAGGGACCGTGTTCATGTACATAGCTGGGCGCGTACGTCCTTTGTGGGCTCCCTAAATGTGTCTCCCAGACAATGCCGTTGCCCACTCACCACGTCCATGACCACGACCTGACGACGTTGCCACACAAGGCGCGTTGCCACGTCGGTCAGCATTCGCGCACACGTGTGCACGACTCTCCTTTTCTCCTTGCTTCGGCGCGCCCTGCGCCCGGGCAGGGCAGAGCGCCGGTGTCCGGCTGCACGCCTCTGGCCCCGAGCTGCTCATTCACCCTTCCCGCCATGCCACGTCCGCCTGTTTACAGTGCGTTCACCTCCATCCCTGCTACCAGCTTAACTATTCCCGCCCAGGGCTCGAGCTGAACGGTGTTTTTGGCAATTTCGTGGGCCGTTTTCGTTTTGACTTCGTTCTGCGGCAAACGTGGAACGAAGACAGAACTAGGGATGACGAAAACAAGACGAGAACGGAAAACACTGTTTAACTCGAGCCCTGTTCCTGCCTGTTGCAGTGTTCGTGTCGTCGCCGGCATCACTGCTGCCGCCGCCCTCCTTCTCATCACCCCGCCCGCCCGCGCCTCCCTCGAGGCAAGCACGCGCGGCTGGTGGCGGAGATCAAGGAGCGCGGCGCCATCCCACGCCGCGGGCAGGGAGCGTCGGGTCGGACGAGGAGGGTCGAAGAAGAAAGCGCGCCATCAGCATAAACTTTCTGGCGCTCCTCGCGGATTTCTTGGATCCTCACTGGGCCTCCCTGGCGGCGCCTCCGGCGCCGCCCTTGGCGCGTTCCGCGCGCCAGGGAGGGGGGGGTCCAGCGCAGATCCAAGAGATCCGCGCGGAGCGCCAAGAGAGAATGTTTATGCTTTTGTTCTTCTTCTAGAAGAGGGCGGGATCGGGAGAGCGGGGGGGGCACGAAGTCCGCTGCGCGCAGCTCGTTTCGGGGCCGCCGTCGGGCGCTCCTCCTGGATGCAGGAGGCGCCTCTGGCGAGTGGAGGCGCTGGGGAGAGCCCACCCACGTGGAGCTGATTCGCTAAGCCCCCCCCCTTTACTACAGGGCAACTTCTAATACATAGGATTTTAAACAATACAGGATTTTAATACATAATTAATTTGCATGAACTCATCGTTGTTGTTGATATTAAAGCCTTGCATGTTTGTGCATGATCCGCACGCGGAGCATGTATTAAAAGCGGCACTGCACAGTGGGATCCCATGCCAAGAAACACCCCGTTTGCCTCCAGGGTGCCCTGGGCTTCTTGGTTCTCGGCGGTCTTGTGATGGAGAGCGCGGCGCTCCCACACCAAGAATCAATGGACGTCCTGGGGTCTCAGGGTTGGGTTTCTTGTGGAGGGTTTATTGTGGTCGGGCTTCTACTGTACCCCTCCCTTTCGTCTGACCCGAGGTGAGGAGAATTACCCTGGCGAAGGACCCAACCATATGCAATTGTGAATATTGCAATTGTGAATATCTTCTCGGTGGAGCCCCCTACGGGGCCACGAAACGTACGAGGGGTGTGCCGAAATGGGTGTGCGGGACGCATGCGGGCACACCCACTGGGGCCTTCGGTGGAGCTCCCTATGGAGGCCACGAAACGTGTGAGGGGTGTGCCGAAATGGGTGTGCGGGACGCATGCGGGAACACCCACTGGGACCTTCGGCGGAGCTCCCTATGGGGCCACGGAACGCGTGAGGGGCGTGCCGAAATGGGTGTGGGTGACGCATGCGGGCGCGGGCACTGGGGCCTTCGGCGGAGCTCCCTATGGGGCCACGAAACGTGTGAGGGGTGTGCCGAAATGGGTGTGGCTGACGCATGCGGGCGCGGGCACTGGGGCCTTCGGTGGAGCTCCCTATGGGGCCACGAAAAAATGGAGGGGTGTGCCAAAGCCACGAAACGTGTGAGGGGTGTGCCGAAATGGGTGTGGGTGACGCATGCGGGCGCGGGCACTGGGGCCTTCGGTGGAGCTCCCTATGGAGCCACGAAACGTGTGAGGGGTGTGCCGAAATGGGTGTGGGTGACGCATGCGGGCGCGGGCACTGGGGCCTTCGGTGGAGCTCCCTATGGAGCCACGAAACGTGTGAGGGGTGTGCCGAAATGGGTGTGGGTGACGCATGCGGGCGCGGGCACTGGGGCCTTCGGCGGAGCTTCTACTATGGGGCCACGAAACGTGTGAGGGGTGTGCCGAATTGTGTGTGGGTGACGCATGCAGGCGGCAGCACTGGTGTCGGCGGACTGCCTTCCTATGGGGCCACGAAACGTGTGAGGGGTGTGCCGAATGGGTGTGGGTGACGCATGCGGGCGCGGGCACTGGGGCCTTCGGTGGAGCTCCCTATGGGGCCACGAAACGTGTGAGGGGTGTGCCGAAATGGGTGTGGGTGACGCATGCGGCGCGGGCACTGGGGCCTTCGGTGGAGCTCCCTATGGAGCCACGAAACGTGTGAGGGGTGTGCCGAAATGGGTGTGGGTGACGCATGCGGGCGCGGGCACTGGGGCCTTCGGTGGAGCTCCCTATGGAGCCACGAAACGTGTGAGGGGTGTGCCGAAATGGGTGTGGGTGACGCATGCGGGCGCGGGCACTGGGGCCTTCGGTGGAGCTCCCTATGGAGCCACGAAACGTGTGAGGGGTGTGCCGAAATGGGTGTGGGTGACGCATGCGGGCGCGGGCACTGGGGCCTTCGGTGGAGCTCCCTATGGAGCCACGAAGCGTGTGAGGGGTGTTCCGAAATGGGTGTGGGTGACGCATGCGGGCGCGGGCACTGGGGCCTTCGGTGGAGCTCCCTATGGAGCCACGAAACGATGTATTGGGTGGGTGAAGAGGAGAGGAGGAGAGGAGGGGAGGAGAGGAGGAGAGGAGAGGAGAGGAGAGGAGAGGAGAGGAGAGGAGAGGAGAGGAGAGGAGAGGAACGCGGGGCACCGTCTCTTCAAAACGAGGACCCAACACCACAGGATGGGTGGGAAAAAGAACATGGAGGGCAAAAGATGAAGAAGACGGAGGGGGGAGGGAAGACGAGGCAGAGGACGAGCCCAGGCAGGACGCTGAAAGGATGGCCGCTTTCGATCCAAGACGGGCTCTGGTTTTGGGAGGCGCACCTTAGATCTAGGCGAAGTCGGGGAACCTCTTCGCGTCCGACCCTCTCTGGGGCTGCGAACATCCATCAGCTGCCTGATTTGGCGTTCTTGATCGATGGCTGCAGGACGAGGGATGAGGGTGGAGGGACAGGAGCCGCCCAAAAATCCGACGTCGTGAGAGGAGCAGATGCCGTGAACAAGCGCACGGCCGGAGCGCCCGAGCCCATGGTTCTGCAGCACTTCTGGGGACTGGGCCCATCCGCGAGGACCCTGACGCCCGAAGCGGGGCCAAGTTTCTGGCAGTGACCTGCTCACGGCCCCCTCATCTGTTCACGAGGCGGGCTTCCGAAGGAGGAGGAGGAGGAGGAGGAGAACTATGAAGGAGAGGTCGACGAGCGGGGTCGTCATGGGGTGGCCCACTGCTTTCCCGTGATGCAGGAATGAGTGCGCTGCCCGCGGCAGACTCGAGAACGGTGGCTCGCACGCGAGCCCGGGCGGAGTCACCCAAAGAGCAAAGCTCACGGTGTCCTACCTGACGGCCAGGGGCAAGGCTCGACCTAAACGGTGTGTTGGCGATCTCGTGGGCCGTTTTCGTTTTGGTGTTTCGTTTCGCAGGACAGGCGGCTGGAGGCAGAACGAGGGAAAACGAAGACGAACAGCACTGCTTTGATCGAGCCCTGTGATAGCCAGAGACGGGGTCAGGCAGGCTCAGGATGAGGGATGAGGAAAATTCGTTCCATTGCGTCCTGCCGCAGAGCGTTCTTAATCGCTATGAAAAGGCCGCGGAGTCCGATACTGCCTCCAGACCCGCCAGTTTGCCGTGGTCTCCGATTGGTCCTCATCCGGGTTTGTCCTCGTCCTGCATTCGTTTTTTTTCGACGCTCTTAAGCAGCAGTGCCCTCTGATCTGCGCCGCTTGCAGCATACCGCCGGCATAACAAGGTTCGTCGTTGCTGTTGGGTGTCCTTTCCAGGGGACCGACAAAACGAGGGGGCAAAGAGATGTGCACTTTTCGTGCACCTTCAGGGCCCTAGGGGGCCCTGAAAGGGGTCCCTGCAAGGCCCCATGTCCCACAACCCCCAATCCCCCCCAGTGTGTCTGTCAGCCACGCTGCATATCTGTATTCTCTAAGAGACCAGGACCACTGCATCCCCTACCTGGTCTCAGGCAGGCCCCGACGCATGTCCGCAGTGGTGGTTCGCTCCTTCGTTCGTTCTTACCCACCCCCCCATCACTCGAAGAAGAAAAAATACCATCAACATACACGTTTGGCTCTCCTGGCGGATTTCTTGGATCCGCGCTGGGGCCCCGCGGCGGCGCCCCCTGGCGCCGCCCCCTGGCGCATTTCCGCGCGCCAGGGAGCGGGCTCTAGCCCAGATCCAAGGACAGGGGACCACATGCGACCACAGGAGGAGGAGGAGGAGGAGGAGGAGGAGGAGGAGGAGGAGGAGGAGGAGGAGGAGGAGGAGGAGGAGGAGGAGGAGGAGGAGGAGGAGGAGGAGGAGGAGGAGGAGGAGGAGGAGGAGGAGGAGGAGGAGGAGGAGGAGGACAGGCGAGGACGAGAGAGGAGGAGGGTGGGGCTCACTTCGCTTGGGAGCTCCCGAACGAAGTGAACCCCACCCTCCCCCTCCGAACTCGTGGGGGTCGGGGTAGGGTTCGCATGTGGCCCCCCTGCAGGAATCCACGCGGACCTCCCGAAGTTTGTGTTTGTGCCGGTTCTTCTCCCTCTAATCACGTACTCCAGACTTCGTGATAAAAGGGAGGGGGGTCTCATTTCGGGGGGGGTCTCTTCCGGGCTATCTTGGAGGGCCTGGGGGGTCTGGGGACGATGTTTTGGAGGGTTCTCCCACGAGGGGGGGTCTGAAATGGCTTGTCTTGGAGGGTCCAGACCCCCTCCCTTTTATTACGAAATCTGGAGTGCTTCTCACGAGAACGCCCGAGCCGTCGCCGCCGCCCAAGGACTGGCAGAGGGCCTCCCTGAAGGCCACAGGCGCCGGCGGCGGCGGCCCCGGCGGGCTCCCGGCGGGCCCCCTGCCTCCCGACGTCGGGCCCCTGCAGCGGGCCTGTCGGGGAGGGGGGGGAGAAGCTCAAGGAGGGGCACGCAGATCAAGAGGGGACAAAAACACACAGAGGAGGGGAGGGGAGGGGAGGGGAGGAGGGGGACGCAGATCAAGAGGGGAGGAGCTCAGGGGGGGCACGCAGATCGAGAGGGGAAAAACACACACAGACACAATTTCATCGTCGAGTCCCAGGAAAAGATGGGAAAATATGGGAAGTGAGCGGGAAGACAAGAACCCAGATAATATAGGAACATATGGGGAATAATTTTGTTTGTGTGTATTTACTTGTGTGTCCCAGGGCCCCTTCAGTAGAGGAGGGCAGAGGGACGAGGGCGGGGGGGAAGAAGGGGGAGTCGCGAGGGAGGCCCGCTGGAAGCACGGGGGAGGAGGCTGGAGGAGGGAGGGGGTGCGGAAAGAGGGGGAGCAGGAGGAGGAGGAGTGAAAAGGCGGGAGAAGGAGGTCGGTGGATGAGGAGGGGCCGGGTGGAGAGGAGGAAGAAGAAGGATGATGATGATGATGATGAAAATGATGATGATGATGATGATGATGATGATGATGATGATGATGATGATGATGATGATGATGATGATGATGATGATGATGATGATGATGATGGTGATGGTGATGGTGATGGTGATGGTGATGGTGATGGTGATGGTGATGATGATGATGATGATGATGATGATGATATTGATGTTGATGGTGATGTTGATGGTGATGATGTTTAATGATGGTGATGGTGAGGGTGACGATGATTTTGATGATAAGGGTGACGATGCTGATGATGATGACGAGGAGGAGGAGGAGGAGGACGACGACGACCAGGAGGTCAAGGGCAACAGGAGTTCGAAGTGGAGTGGATGTGGAGTAGGAGGCTGTGGATGCTGCCGATGATGATGGTGATGATCATTATGTTGAGTATGTTCCTTTTCGAATTTCTCGACCTTCTCACCCTCATCATTGCACTTATCCTCGTCATCATCCTCATGATCATTCCTGTCCTCATCCATTTCCTTCATGCTTACCTCCTTGACTTCTTCCCTTTGTCCGAGAGGAATAGAGACCGGTGCTGTCTTGAGAGACAGGTCGCGATGGTCATTGGCATTGGCGTGCGCACGCGGGTCGTCGCCAGTCGTTACGCGTGCATAGGTAAATGTCAGGATCTAGTTGTTGACAGAAGCGCTTGGTAGTAAGGGCCGAGTCCTGGTGCGAGGTGGGCGATCTGGGCAATCATGCCAAGGAACGGTTCTCTCGTCCTCGGCGGGCCTCCCTTTGGGCCTCGTGTATCAAAGTCTCGTGGCTGGAAGCCAGTACAAGGTCGTGGAAAAGGGCGGCGGCGCACGCGCACGCAACGATGGATTGGGTAGGTGCCCTGCTCTAGGTATTAGCAGAATGTTTAAAAATTAACAGGACAACTTGGCAGATATTGGCATTGCCGCCTGCACGAAGTCAGGGACGCGCAGAAACAAATTGAACAGGACCTGAGTATTGCCAGCAGCTTGAAAGTCCAGGGAGGACCGAAAACCCAACCAGACGTGCGCCAACCCAGGCTTTGGGGGGAACGGGTGGACGCAGAGGCGAAAAGAAGCCAGAACGGAGTGAACTGACGACGGCATCATCAGGAAGAGAGATGCTGAGGAGACAGTTCGAGTTCAGAGGTGTGAAAACGACCAGAGACAATCGAGATGCGAAACGCCATTGAACGCAGTGTAGCCACATCGGCGCACTGACGGCATGATAGTCGCCACGGGAAGGGAGACCCACAACGAAAAACAGCGACCCACGATGAAGAGCCTAGTTAAGAATATGACATATGCGATTGCACGGGCGGTAAAATGGTAAGATCAAATTGGCCAATTGTAAGGCGCCAGCGAAAAGGCCAGACGCACGAGCGACACAGAGGCAGCACATGCAGCTCAGATCAGACCAGTTGCCAACGCAGACGATGGGCATGGCAATGCAGATGCTGATGCCGACAACGTCGTAGCACTACGGTCGTGGTGGGTGTCACCTGGGCATTCGGCTGCACTGGGGCCGTTGCTACGCGGCCGCCCACGCTGTACGCGCAGGGGGTGCCACCAGGATGCAGCGCATGCCGGAGCAGCTGTCGTCGCACACGATGTGCAAGGGTGGCATAGCTCGCGAAGGGACCATGGACCTCAATGGCGACGATGAGTTTTATCTTCGCCTGCAGGTTCAACTGGACCTCGGAATTGCAGCCCGTATCGCTGTGCCGGCGAGCGAGGTCCGCGAAGGAGATAAGACCCGGGCAGCTGGCACCGCAGACGATGTGCATGGCCCGTCCTGGCGCTCGGTGGACGCGGTGGCGTGGCATTTGCCTTCAACCAGGGCGCTGCATCGCATCTCGCCGCGCAGGACTGACGGGATACTTCTGGGACCGCGCGAACCGGAGAAAACGTTGATGAGAGCATGACCGCGAGAAAGGTCGGCCCATGGAAATCGGAGGCGCGGGCGGGCATCATCGCCACATGCTGCAGCTATTGCGCCGCGGAGTAGCGACCAGATGCGTCGCTGTGCTTGCGTGAAAATTGACGCGCGAAGCCGCGCATGCCAGAGCATTGGTCGTCGTAAACGGTGGGCATGGTGGCTGCAGCGGTGCTCGAGACCTCGTTAGCGTCGGCGGTTGTTTCTTTTCAGTGTATGTCGCGATTGGGCCGCGAAGCTGCAGCCCGTCACGCCGCGCGGGCAGGTGCTGACTTCGCGGCGTGTCGGACCCGGCAAACCCGGGCAGCTGTCTCGCGCGACCTGAAAGCGGCTGGCCACGCTGCCACGCACGCCACTGGTCGCCAACCACGCGGTCGAGGCGCGCGCGAGGTCGAGCCGTTCACGGTCCGCGGCGCGCCGCAAGCGGGGGTGGCGGCTGCGGCAACGGCTCCGGCTTCTAGCCAGAATAGTTCGAGCCCAGCTGGATAATGATGCACCCCCCCTAGCCCCTGAGAGTTGATTCCCTCTGGCCAAGACAGAGTTGGTCGGGGGGGAGGGGCGGCGAGGCCGAGCTTCAGCATCGCGGGGGGAAGTTTCGAATCGTACTCGCAATCTTCTTATGTCGCGTTGGCACATCGCCACGGACGCGCAGCAGTTCTGTGGAATTCCAACACTTCCGCATGCCCCAAGTCACGGACGCGTGGCAGGGATACATTTATGTGTATGTATATATATACATAATTGCATAAACCTGTACATGTACATGCACATATAGATACGAGATTCGGGCGACCTCAAGGCCGCGCCCCCCCCCCCCCCCCCAAGGAAAGCGCCCCCGCCGTCGACGACGTCGACGTCGTCGTCCTCGCACGACGACGACGACGCCGACGACCTCCTCTTTCCTCGCCATGCAACCCGCGCACGACTTGCAGGGACACGTCGCTCCCCATTATCTCCCCGGGGCCCCGATGTGCATTATCCCCCGGGGGCATTGGGTCGCGGGCGAGGAATTGAGGGGGCGACGATGCGCGGCGGACAGTTGCAGCTCCACCCCCAGAGCGCAGGCGAGCTGGCGGCCTCCTCCAGGAGACAGTCCGAGACCAGAATGAGTACGCGGGCGCATCGCGATAACTTTTGCGGGCCTCCACGACGACTCGGGCGACGCCATCGGCAACGCGCTCGGGCCGCGGGGAAGCGCGTGAGGGCCCAGGGCCTGCACGTCACGCGCCTGGGCCTAGGAATTCCACGGAGGCGCCGGCGCAGCGAACAGGATGCGCTCATAGCAGCGCCAGTTGCACCTCTGCGTACGCAGCAGAACCAGAAGCATTCCGACGCGCCGCCAGGAGTTCCCCGCGCCGAAGCCAGCGAGCCACACTTTCGACAGGGGTCTGCCTACCAAGGCGATGCCGCGCGACGAGCGAAGGTGACGAGCAGTGGCCCTTGGCCGCGTGACTCGGCTCTCCAGCGGGCTCGCGCTTTCCCGGGGTGGCCAGCGGCGCCGCCGAACGCCACCCGCGCCGCAATCAACGGCGCGCGTCGGAGGCCCTCCAGGGGGGGGCATCTGGGGGGCGCGGCGCCCGCGGGCTCCGCCGGAGGCGGGTGCGCCCTCGCGGGTCGGACGAGAGGTCGGCGGTTCAATGATGGGCCCCCGAGGGATGGGCCCGAAGGACAGGAAGAGAACCAATGGTGGATTTCCATTGTTTGAGGCACCTCGCCTTCAAGCCCCCCGCCAGGGCCCCATCTTCGAACCGCCGAAGAGGGGGGCAACAATTTTGCTCGAGGCATTTATGCGGGATTTTGATGCGGAGCTCCCTGGCCCTCGCTGCCCCCATGCATCCCAGCCGAACCAGCGCGCGACTTGAATTGCATCGGCCGCATTCGCTGCTTCAGCGCAATGACATGCTGTGCGTTCAGGGAACCCGCGGAAGCTATGGCGACCTTCTTCGCCTCCGCAGGAACATGGAGAATGGAGGAAATGGGGCGCGCGCCGAAATCCACCCCAGACGACACTGCGCTGTTTGATGGTTTCACTGCGCAGGCGCGCCCGTCCGTCCGCGCGGCGGTTTCCAGGCGCATCTTAGAGCGTGCTTAATTTCGCATATGGCGAGGCATTCACTTTGCGTGTTGCGCATGTTTTCACGCGCCAATCGCGCGCGGCTCGAGCTACTTCGCAGACGCTTTCTGGCGGGGCCCTCTCAGGGCCCGCCGGGCCCGCTGAGCGCCGAGAGCCCCCAGCAGCCATTGCTGACAGTCGCCCAAATCAACGCCCCCGAAAGGGCCGCCGCAATCGCCGCCGAAATGGCCGCCGAAATTGCAGCCGAAATTGCCGCCGCAATCGCCGCCGAAATTGCAGCCAGTCGCCGACATGACCGCCGAAAATGAGCCGAATTTGATTTTGGCTGTGACTATATTCGTGCGTCCGCGGCATCATCGAGCTCAATAGAACATTGATTTCGCGCAGAAAAAGGCAATTTCGGCGGCTGAA